CACCAAAACATTAACTGTAGGCCTACATAGCATGAAGCTGAAGAAACAGGATTCTTCAATACTACTACTGTCCTAGGAAAAGCATGTAACGACGCAAGGTTGGTATAATTGGAGGCCTGAGCTGCCCTTCTAATGTAGTTTTCTCTATGCTTAGATTCCATCTCTTTAAAGTATAAACCAGAGATACTATCCCTCAGAAACCTAGACTGGTCCCCCCCCCCCCAATAAATTTGGGAATCGGTATAGTTCCTATTTAAGGCCATTGATTGGATCACCTCCGCGCGTGGGCAGTATTTGTTTTGTTTTTTAATTATGATTGAAACTTTGCGCATGGAAAGTTATTAGAACCAGTTGGCAAAATCACCAGTGTCCCCACGAAGGCAACTTTCAACCATGCAATTGCATAGGTTTTACTGAAAGTTTGGCCCCTCTTGTTTTGCATAAAACTCAAACGACATATTTTAAATGAATCCGGTTTTTAATCAGTTCTGAGGGGACGGTTTGTGATATGATAGCAGTTTATACATGTAGCTACACTTTTAGTAATCATCATGTGTAACTGTTTGGTTTATATGTGGTTTTTGGTTAGGTTACATGCACTGTTGTGGGACTTTATGCAAATCTTTGAGGAATGACAAGGCATTTATTTTACAGTCTGACTTTTTTCTTTCTGAGCATTTTATTTTTGACGTGTAAATCGGGATAATTGTGATGTTTTGCTTTTTACTAGCACTGGTTTTTTTAGGTTTACTGGGGGACTCCATGTAATTCCATGTAATTCCATGTAATAATTTTAATTCTACATGGGCAAATGTATATGTGCAATAAGTGTTTTTATGCTCTCTGTTAGTTTTTACTTATACTATATGTTTTGTGTAAAAAAGTCTTAGAAAGTCTTGTCTATTTTTGTAATTTTATTTTCTTTGTTTCGTTCTGTTTTCATGTAATTTTATTGTGAGGGCTCCTTTGGAAAGCAGTTTTTTAAACTGAAATGGACTACCCTCGTTAAAAATTACAATAAATAAAATAAAGTAAATCTCTGTATTGATAGTTGCCCGAGACACTTTCTAATATAGGGCGATTCTCAATGCAGTGCACCACCAAGAGTTTGCCACGGAGTGTGCATTTTTCGCAGTGCATTGTGGGAGAGAGTCGACAAATTCGCAGTGCGGGACATTTGAAATCGTTAGTTTTTCCGGTCAGTAGTTTCGGAAGCGTATTATTCGAGGATCTGTTTGCCCTTTTCTTTTCTTGTTATCAATATGGTGTTTTTTGTAAGGCGGCAGAACGACATGCCCTAATATCTATACTATATTAGCTCAACTTGTCTACTGACACTCATTCAGATGAGCCATGTTTTGTCGACCGTAAACTTGAAAAATGTACTCTTCATGGCAAGCTCTTGGTGGCGCAATGCATTGGAATCGCCCGAATCTAGCGAAAATCGAAGCTGATCACCAAATAAATTGCACTAAGGGGTAGCCTTGTTGCCATTTTGCAATAGGCTGGTTCCGAGCTAATATCGTAGTTGTGATTTTGTATTCAGGGGTGGGAATCGGACCTACACTAGTCCTGCATATTCATTGCCCGCTACAGGTTTGTCCCTGCATTCGAAGTCCGAAGGACAATTGAGGGACCGGGAACCAGTCTATCACAAACCAGACTAAAGTTATAATTGTACAGTACATGTGTTATTACCATATATCTTACTGAGTAGTTCTGAACTTTGGCCGAGAATTACTATGAGAAGGATAGAGAAATCGTATTTTTTACGCTGTGTCATTTGATTGAAAATATTCCCAAGAGTCAGAATATTAAGTAATATTTTATAAAATGTTTCAGTTTATAAAAGGCAAATCACTTATTTAAAGGTGCAGTTTTTCTGCAGTGGGATTTTTGCCCATTGACTTTGTACACGTTTTCAAGCCACCATTTTTATAACTTTTATACAGCAAGGGAAGACCCTGATACAAAAATTATGCCAAGACTATGACGTCATGATGACGTCATCACCTAATTTTTTTATTAATTTTTGAAAATATATTTTTTTCCCATAGGTTTTGTACACGTTTTTCTATAAAACACTGTGAAACCAGAGCCGAAGCAGCTGTGTTTGTCCACAAACACATTTTTAGTTTATGACATTTTGTTGACTACTGAAACCGCAACTTCCGGTCAAACCGGAAGTACCTGACTCATCAAAGTTTTAAAAGATGAGATGTATTTTTGCACATGTGATACAATTATATTATAGGAATTATTCTAAGCATTTTGAACAACTTTTAACTGCATAAAGCACTATAGGTTTTCGCACACAATTTTGAAATATGTGTAACGTCATCATGACATCATCAAAATGCGAATTTTCTAAACACATATAAGGAAAGGTCCGATCATCATTAAACTTGGTGGGTAGGTAGATAATGGAACCAGTAAGCAAAGTCCGAAGTGACGTCACGATGACGTCATCGGTTGATTTTTTTTATGATTTCTTTATTATTTATAATTTTATTCTGCTTCCAAAATTGCACACTTTCTTTCATCGGATCGACTATAAACTTGGTTTAAACCGAGACCACAATGACAAAATGTGCATTGAGAAGGATTTTCAAGATGACATCATCGCAGGGCATGTGACGTCATGTGAAAAAGCTTTGTTTTTGGAATTATTCTAAGCATTAACTACCTTTAACCGTCTGTATTAAAAGCTAAAAAGTGACTGCAAAGGACAAACATAGCAAAACATTTATAAGATGCGAAAAAGCAAATGTTGGCTGATGACTGCATAATTATGGTGCCCGACTAAATTTAGTGTATGGGAGCCAAGGGAGGCCACATAAAGCTTATAATCGATCGTAGACCCATCTAAAAATACGTTCAATTGTGCAGCAGCAGGTTTCTAGTCGAACCAGTGAGCTTTGCGGTTTTGAAACATCATCTTACATTGAAAAAAAAATAATAATAATTTTGCCGACGCGCATGCATGGCTACGGCGACGCGCGCGCATACCAGAAACCGGAGACTTTTTTTGGGGGGGGGGGCCTTATCGCTGCCCCCTAAAAGTATTATTAATTATCGTGAACCAATAGCAGCAGAAATTCGTTCGAGTTCAACCCGAAATTACAATATTACTAGTCCTCTGAAGTTAATTTAAAAAAAAACACGTTGAATTCATTATGAATTCAATTTTTCCCTATTGAAGCAGTTGTAGACGTTATTGTGTGAGTATAAAGTGACAAAAAAATTCCAATCTTAATTTGATGTTCTGCTCCACTAGCAACGGAACCTTCCATGCACAGGGCATATGGCAAATAATAGTTGCTGATATACGGAGGTAGTCCAGTATTCCAGCCATATTAATGGGGCTGTGCGGCGCCATGTTGGATAAACGACACAAATCTGCTTATGATGAAGTTCCAAACTAGCTTTACACAAAAATCAACCTAGCTATGTGTGGAATATATACAACAATAATAAAGTTTGGATGATACCAACATTATCTAAAACAAAAAAATCTCGTAACTGAAGGTCGGTTGGAACGGCCAGTCCAACACACGACAATGTTTGCCGCGTGGTGGCGCTGTAACCGCTCCAATAGACCTTTCTGCGATTGGTTGGCAAACTGCATTTTTGCCAACCACGGCCTGCAAAAATATGGAAGGTCCAACACTGCAAAAATGAAGAAGACTTAGTACAGATCACCAAAATATTATTCGATACTTGAAAGTACAACATTTTCAACAAAGCTACAATATAATTCCTACACATGTCTTTTTACTATGTGTTAATGGCGTTATGAGGATTTTTTTTTGGAACAATACGTTGCCAACCACGGCTTCAATTTATGTGCTTACGGCAGCCCATACAAAATGGCGCCAATGTTTACAAACAAAAGAAAGCCTATAGATGGACGAGTGAGCCATGAGCGGGCCAGTGATGCCTTAACGATCCCGCATAATACGTTTTACGTGTCTGCAGTTTTCCCACAGAGAATGTTTCTAACCGTCTTAAAGGGAAAATACAACATTTGCAAACATCGAAAAATCAAACTACCAAGTTGTTACGAAATACCTTACTAGGATGTTGGTAAATGACAGTCTAAAGCATCCTGTACCACTATTCCGGCCGACCACTATTGGAAAACCTAACTTATTTTCAACTACTGCTCCAACTTTACCATTTTTTCAGTGCAAATTGTGTTTGCTATTGGTAACATGTTCATGAACGGGTGCAGGCCAGCTATACTGCATGTTCCCTTATCTTACAGTTTTCCGGCATCTTTAGATTGATACATTTTTACCTTTAGTGGAGTCAAGGAACCAGACTACGTGAAAATATTTATTTTTCTTGGTTTTTCAAGCATTTTTTTACACAAACCTTCAAACATGTCAGTGTAACAATATTTGATCTATGATACTAACTTCTCAAATAATTCATTTCTGAAAATTACAGGAAAAGCCAATCATGTACATTCCCTTTAAAAGTGCACCTTAGAACACTTGCAGAACCCTTTCATCAGACACAACATTAAACTACACGTTTGGAAAAAATTATTCGGTCAAGTAATTCAAAAACTCAATTAACGTTTCTCAACATGATGCAACGTAGGCAAAAGTACTTTATTTTACCTCAATTAATGCAACATACGGTTCATAAAACCTGCCATTGCAAAGTCATGAATATTTCAAATTTAAGTAGCCAGTTCCATCATTTTGGTATTTGACATTTTGCCAAAATGACTTTGCATTTGTATGCAATATTGCTGACAAAGTTTAAATGGGATTGTTTTTTCAAAATACATTGTATTTCATTAACTGTCGGGGGGGAAATGTTAATCGGTATTCTAAAACTAAAAATTAATCTTAAGAAATTGAACAAAATAGAATTGAAAGAACGCCAAGGTTTTGCCAAAAGGACCTTGCGATTTTATAGCCCATCTGTACTTGAAATTTATAACTTTGGTCACGTGACTCTGAGTCATGAATGTGCACGTTCAGGGACTTACATAAGCGATTGCTACCAATGTTAGGAATCATAACTGCTCCGACGAAAGTTTTCAGGCGCACAGCCCCAAATCACGCTAAGCACGATTGACTGACTTGGTTTTCTCAAGCCGGACTTCGATCTCAACCGACAGCTCTTGGTCAACCTCTGCCCGCATTGCCATCATGTCTCCTGTAACTGCCTGCCTGCTGGCCCTGCTGACGGTGGGGTTCCTCGTGGTCAAGCAAGACGCCTTGGTGCTCGAAGAGGTTGAAGCTGACGCCTTGGTGGTGCAAGAAGCCGAACGTGGTGGTATGTATCGCTAAACCCAGTAATTTGTGGTCCTGCATCTTAAGCAGAATATCAGGGTGAGAGGGGGAAGGGGGTTCAATAGCATAGAACAAGATTCCACACAATGTCTACAAGCAGTGTCTGAAGAGCAAAATAGAATGGTGGACCCATTTTAAATCCTTACTCTTTTCTGGGAGGGGACGGATTTCGAAATGTGGCAATTTCAAAACGTCAGGGGCTGGGTCTAATTTTTGGACGCATACCAGGGCACAGGAGAAACACTTTGGAATCAGACAATGTGATTGAAATCCCATTTGTATTTGAATGTGTGGGGGTAATCTGTAATTCTCACTCAGCTCAGGATCTATAGCTTCCAATGGCGTTCCATGGACAGCTATATGAAAATAGGTCTTAAACATGCTTAACTTCTGATAGCTTGGATCAATTTCAGTAATTCCTTTTTTAAGATGAGTGGAAGAACATGCTCTTAAGAAATACTTCATTCCTGTATTAAATTCAATTGCTTTTAAGAAAACAAAAATTATTAATCCAGGTTACATTCTTTCTGACTCACCCTGTAATTATATATATAAAAATCAGAGTGTGATACCAATGTAAGGTGCCGAGTCGTAAGTGTTTGTTCAAAGAAGTGGGACAAAAATGTTGTATAATTTGTGTCCAGTCCATAATTTGTTTTCAACATCAGCTTTCATATCCTGGTGATGAATTTCGAGGTCCCATTTTGGGGGACTCTGTCTCATATGTGTTCTCTTCGAAATGCGTTCTCTGCGGAATGTAGGGCCTACATTAAATCCTATAATATGTAAAACCCAGGTTTAATAGGGTATCATTTTTGGGGTGAAAATTAAAGGCTTTCCAAATAATTCTGGAGCCGGGGTCATATGAAATATGGACTCATGTGAAATCTTAGCTCCTTTACCAGTAGCCCATGGCCAAGACCCCAAATTCACCACCCGAGGTGGCAAACTCTAGTTGCTATTTTCTTTTTTTTATTGTTGTACATCTCTAGCTTATATCTTGATATGATTACAGCCTTTTCAATGTGGTAGCTTATTAGTGGTTATCACCCCTCGAATATCCAGACCCCTTTAACGTTAACCCTGTGGGTGCCAATGGACTACATGTTATACAAATATGTAATGCGTCAATAGACCAAAGATTGCATTACCTTGAAAGACTAATCAATATGATAATTAAGTTCAATTGTTATGGCGTTTTTCGTAGTTGTCAATTTGATTTATATTCATGAACTTCATAATATGCACATTCATTACATTTGGAATATGTATTATATGGGTCGTGAATTCATTAATAGTCAAATGCTTTCGAATACGGCACAGATGAGTTGTGTGTTGTTGACAATTACGTCAAGGGTTGGTAATTGGTTTACTGCCATGTACTGACACATCATATAATCACCAAATTAAAGAAATTTATGACAGCAAAATATCCAAAATTCTAGCAACTTTTTTTCCTGAAATAGCCGTGTTTTCTAATGAATATGAAACTTTGCATTAGCATAGAAACGGGGAAGGCACCAAAAACACCCATCAAAATGGAAAATAAAACTTTCAAATAAGGTTAAATGTAACACAAAGATGTATTTTCAAGGTTTGCATTGAAATCTTTGCATGGGCCCTGTGAATATGGTAAGTGTTCGGTCAGACATACGCAAGAAAACATTTAAGAAATAACACAAGAGAAGTGTTCCCGACGGTACAACCATTGCCAAATATACGTGTCCCGATGTCTTACACGTCAAGAAATCGTCAACGTAAAAAGCCCCTTGATCAAACGTTTATACAAGTAGAAAAGATCAACAGTGAAAAAGAAATTATCTTAGTCCCTTTCAATTCAATATTTCGTTGCATCTTGTTTCCCTCATATCAGTTGATTGGTAACATTGTAAATTTTACAGTCATCAAGATTTAGGGGGGGGGGAATGAACCTCGGAGAAAAATAGGGGGAAAAATGATTAAAAAATCTTACTAATTTAAATGACCAAACGATGAAAGCGATTGTCCATAAACGAATAAGAAACGAAAAGCATGGTTATACGTTATAAGCGCACAGATGTTCGCTAATTTGAATGCGTCAACCGTCAAAAGGTTGCAAAAACTTAATTTAAGACTGCTACAGGTTAAGTCTTGAATGCACCAAAACGAAATAGGCTGCCCGAAAACGAAAACGAACATTCACAGCAAAATATTGGCTGCCTAAAAATGAAATTGAATGAACCCCAAATGAAAAAGAAACCGCAATTGGACCACATGTGCAAAACTCACGCGAAATTGAATGGCAGATAATGAAACTGATTAGAAGAATTCGGAAATTCGCCGGGAAAACCTACATTTTTATTTCTTAAAAATATATCGTTGTTGTGTTAACTTTGTTTGAAATGTGCAGTGTCAGAAACGATAACGCAGTTGACCCAGGAAATGGAGGCGTGTGCAGACAACGAAGACATGGACTGCATTTTGGCGTATTTCGCCGATGATGTCCGAACGATGCGGGAGGGAGCCGCGGGAGTTGACATTGGAAAAGCTGGTAAGTTCTCCGTCACTCTTACGGCAATATAGCCTTGTTTAACGCGTTCTTCGTAATAGTGTCCGTGAGAGTATCTAGCCGCTAACTAGCCACGCTATAGCTGAGTATGTTTGGGGGACCCCCGGTGCACCCCCCCCCCCCCCCAACTCAGAACTAACTTTCACCAATTTTTGGGGTGCCTTTTATGGTCCTAAGAAACAATGTGGATGTTAACAGAAAAAAGATAATCCGATGCGAAGGTGATAATCCAAGATGACGGCCAATATGGCCGCCAAAAATGGTAAACACTGGAACAATAGGCATAAATCAGCCAAATTATGTGATAAAAGCATCAATAAAATGGTTTGTTATTTGTTTTAGACCCTCAAAAACTCATTTCTGGTATCTTTTTTTCTGCTATCATGCTTCAACTATAAAATGGCGGCCAATTTGGTGGCCAATATGGCCGTAAAAATGGGGGAAAATGGAAAGAAATCATATTTTTGCCATAAAGTGTGATAAAAGCACCGACTTTCTACTTATGCAACTCCAGATCCCTGAACAATAAACTGGATGAACTACATGCTATTATTTTGGATAACAAGGTGGATGTTGCCGCCATCACAGAAACATGGTTTAAACCAGACTTACCTCCAGAGCTTGTTTCAATCTCTGGCTACACAATGTTTGCCAAGTCCCGGACTGGAAAACAAGGAGGAGGCATCGCACTATATGTCAATCAGCTGTATGCCTCTGAACAATTAAATATCAGCACGCCGGAGGGTCTTGAGGTATTATGGATAAAAATTCGCCCACATTCTCTTCCAAGATCTGTGTCCCATCTGGTAATCGCATTGGTGTATTACCCTCCAAACAGCCCTACTGCAAATCTACTACTTGACCATCTACATGACACACTCGACAATGTTCTTAGCAACCACCCACATGCAGGCATTGCAGTCATGGGAGACTTTAATCAACTGGATTTAAAGCCATTGCTCACCGACCCCAAGTTGAAGCAGATTGTTCAAGAACCAACTAGGGGAAACAGAACCCTGGACAAAATCATCACAAATCTATCAACTCACTACAAGCAACCCAAAATGTGTTCCCCGCTTGGAAGAAGTGACCATAATGCAATCTTATTGTCGCCCACTCAACAGCGCAAAAGTGAAAATACTACTAGAACACAAATCACAAGGCCACTACGTGATTCAGACATTCGCCAATTTGGGATGTGGATCTGCAATTATGACTGGTCACCTGTCTTAGAGGCTACTGAGCCTAACCAGCAATGCGAGGCCTTCTATGAAGTGTTGAACTGGGCTCTGGACTGCTTCCTTCCAACTCGCACCACCAAATTGCACTCACAGGACAGACCATGGATAACCCCTGCAATCAAATCATTGATTAGGAAGCGACAAAATGCCTTCCATCATAAACAAGACAGAACATGGAAACAACTTAGAAACAAAGTCATCCGAGAAATACGCCTTGCTAAAAGAAAACACTACATCACCAGGATACAGACTCATAAGGCATCTAACCCAGCTGGATGGTACAGAGGAATAAAAGCCATTACCCATGGTCATCAGGTGGGACCAACAATTAGTGTGCCAGACAAAGACATAACGAGCCCAGCCCAGGTAGCTAATTACATCAACAAGCTACTGGTGGCTGTCACTGATGATCTCCAGCCTGTTGACACTGCTCAACTACCAGCATATCTGCCATCACAGGTACCTCCTCCCAACGTTCAACCCTGGGAGGTGTTCCACGAACTGAAACGTGTTAAAGTTGGCAAATCAGGTGGACCGGATAATGTACCTGCTCGCATTATCAGGGAGTTTGCTTGTGAACTGAGCACGCCATTGGCCCACATATTCAATACATCTCTTAACTGTGGAGTGGTTCCTGACCTGTGGAAACGAGCCACTATTGTTCCAATTCCCAAAACATCACCAGCTGTGGCCGACAAGTTAAGGCCGATTGCTCTTACAGACCATTTTGCCAAAGTTCTTGAAGGGTTTGTTGCCAAATGGACCTTTGAGGATTTGGCACCTAACATAGATCAACACCAGTTTGGAAATCGCAAGGGATTTTGCACCACACACTATCTTGTTGACTTGCTACATACTTTGTTTCAACATGCAGAGAAACCTAAAACATCATCCACGCTTATCTTAACTGACTTCAGCAAGGCCTTCGATCACATTGACCACAACATCGCTATCACGAAACTACTTGCCTTAGGAGTTGAACCCACACTAGTCCAGTGGATTTGTAACTTTCTCAGTAACCGACAGCAGTGTGTGCGTTATCGAAGAATCAACTCTGATTGGACCAATGTGCATGCTGGTGTCCCGCAGGGAACACGCCTTGGACCAATCGTGTTTCTAGCAGTAGTCAATGATGCGCTCCAAAACAATCATGACTCCACACATTACTGGAAATATGTAGATGACCTGAGTATAGTTGAGAATCGGTCCTCACATGCACCATCAAGAATGCAAGAATCCCTTGAGTCCCTTGTTCTGTGGTCTGAAACAAACAACATGAAGCTCAATCCTGCGAAATGTTCATCAATGGAAATTAACTTCATGAGAGACCCCCCAATTCCACCAATCTTCACCATATATGGTCAACAGCTCCCGCAGTCGGATACAGTGAAACTCCTGGGTGTACACATACAGAATAATCTCAAGTGGGATACAAATGTCGACTCAATATTACAACGAGCAAATGGACGGTTACACATGATCCGAGTTCTCAAAGGCCATGGTTTACCGGTAGAGGACCTTCTTACAATCTACAAGGGGTTTCTACGGCCGCTTCTAGAGTATGCTGTACCACTCTGGAACGGCGGAATAACCAAACAGCATGTACATCTTCTTGAACGTGTTCAGAAACGCTCACTCAAACTTATATTAGGTTCTGATTACACACATTATCAACATGCCCTAGATACTCTTAGCATACCGACCTTGAGTAGCAGACGAACTGAGTTGTGTCTTAAATTTGCCACAGATCTGAAAGCAAATTCCAAGTTGAATAATATCATCCCCACTCGCCCCACAAATGGCAGATTTCTACGTAATTCCAGTATTCCTCAGTTGCAATATAGAACAAATAGATTCAAGAACAGTGCAGTACCCTACCTCATTGACTTAATTAATTCTAATTAATTCCAGTGTTTTTTTAATTTTATGATTGCTAGATTTGAAGTTCACCAGTTTTTATTCCTTGCTAGACCCCAACTCTTTTTAGGGAAATCCTGATGAATCGCAGGGAAATCGGGGTGATTGTGATTGTCGTTATAGCTGTAATCGTTGTTGTTGTTGTCTTCGTTATATCTTCGTTGTCACTGTGGAAATTGTGGTTATTGTTTCCATTGTAGTCAATACTGTCCTTGTTGTATTCGTTGTTACTTTTGTCATCATTATTGTGATTATGGTTCTTGTCGTCATTATCGTTGTCTTAATCGTTATTCTCATCATTATATAGTCGTGATTGTGGTTAATTGTTGTTATTGTTCTCGTTATCTTTATCGTTATCTTTGTCAAATTTCTTAATTATTGCATACATATCTGTTTATTTTTTATCACAACTGATACCATATGACATTTGTTTTTATCTGTAAAATGGAATTTTTAATTAATGAAGATTGGCATGTCAGAGATACTTTTGGGTTAAGACAGTTTTTGGACCTTTCAATGTAAAAGTACTTGTTTATTTTAAATTTAATTTAATTTATTTTATTTAATGTATTTGTATTAGCATTTTTATCTGTTGACTTGATCCAATTCAATCTTTGATTGCCACATCAAGTCTAATGAAAATAAACCATTTTATCTATCTATCTATAAAAAAAAAAAAAAAATTGAGATTTTGAGTTTCTAAAAAAATTATCATTGATCTACATGACGCCATGGGCGTCAATCCTGGGGGGGGGGGGGACAGGGGGGCATGTCCCACCCACACTTTTGGAAGGGTGGGGGACACAATATCAAATGTCCCCCCCCCCCGGATTTTGAACTCGTGTCTCATTTACAGGGCCCTATTATGTACTACGGGCCCCGAACCCCACGCCTATAGCTCAGAATACCGATAGCTGATTCAATGACTCCAACCTCGAAAACGATTTTCAAATAATTATCTTTTGATAAGAAAATATTAGTTAAAGCATGGAGGAAAGTGGTAAGAAATTACTTCAGACCACACCACAGAACATCTAGAATCCAATTTTTTTAAGCGGCCCCGAACCCCTCGCATCAGTTCTGATCAGGTATGTCCCACCCCCTTTTAAGAAGCGATTGACGCCCCTGCAAGACGCCCCCCCCCCCATGAAATGGCGCTCTATGCAAGGGGTCTACTGCCGAAAACCAAGACACACTGTTTCCTCGTTATAAAAGACGACAGCTAGTGACATATTGTCAAGAAATCTGGGATGTATAGTCAGAGCCCATCGCAAGTCCATTGCAAGTCCGTCGCAAGTCCATCGCAAATCCATCGCAAGTCCATCGCATGTCCATCACGGGTCCATCACAAGTCCATCACAAGTCCATCACAAGTCCACCAGTCCGAATTCAAATCACAAGCTATTCAAATGAGCTTGGACGATATTATGCATTCCTTTCTTACTGTTCATTTCATACACTGTGAATGGACCTGAGATCTACTTGTGAAGTGGACCGTACATGGACGCCATGGGCGTCGCAAGGGGGGAAGGGGGGCATCCTAGCCACTCCCCCCCCCCCAAAAAAAAATGAAGAAGGACAAAAAAGGGGGAAAGAGGTGCTAAGCCATGTTGCTGTTAATTTGATGGGGGGGTTACGGCAAATGCTCCCCTCACGCTTGGAAAAATGATATATTGAGAATATAGTGAAACATTTGCTTTGCCCCCCCCCCGGACAAAATCCTGGCGACGCCTATGATGGACGCGTCTACATCCCAGTGTCTGTACAAGATTTTATCTTAGGTTTTTACCCGTCGCAGACGTATTTTATAAACGCTGTATATTCTCAGTGTTATCCGCGGACTTGCGAGAAAAAAAAGTCACAAGCTTACTCAGGTGGGACTCAAACCCACGACCTCCTGCTTACTAGTGCAGACGTCTTACCACTCAACCACCGAGCTTGCCGAGGCCGGCTAACGGCAAAACCCAATGTAAAATCTACATCTCCAGTCCCAGATGCTAATTCCATCTTATAAAACAGAAAAATATGTGAAATGGGCCTGCCTCTGTATAATTATTTCAACAGAAACCCGAAAACACATGAAGTGGATTGAGCAAGATTTAGACATAACCAAGGATGTACTGGAGATCACACCTAGTACAGACGAATCCATCGTTGTGGAGCAGCTTATAATGACCATGAAATTCCCCAACGGAACTTATGCCCATAACTGGAAGTGAGTGGGCTTTGACAATGTTGAATTCATATATTAAGAAATAAGTTAATAAATTCCGTATTTTAAGTTATACTGTCTTGAGCTAATACTGTGGTCGGGGTAACGAGATTATAATTTTTCTTTAGGGGGGAGGAGGGGCGATATTAACGCGTGATTCGAAGGTTATTGAAGTACCCTTACATACACTACAAAACCATAGGGCAACCGCATTGCTCTGTGGTAAAACCCAGCGGGACTTTTGAACACATTTTGAACAGAACCGGTACCGAGGAGTTTACATTGTCGGAAAGTTTTGTTTTCCTAAATGTCAAAGCTCAGTGATAAGCAGCTGCAAAGCTTCAATCGACTGTCTGAGTTTTTTGAGAGGGGGGGGGGTGCATGAATAGTGAATCGGACTCAAAATGAACCAAGTGAGCCTATCAACCTTTTGCGTCCCCTCCTTAAACATAAAAAATAGTTGCAAACAAGCGTTGTTATGTTCAGTTCAAAGTTGAACACATAGTACAGTGGGGTTTTTTTTACAGAGAACAGTTAAAACATAACATTTTTACCATCTCTATTTTTTACATTTAAATATATATGCCCCGTCCTCTACGAATTTTTTTTTTTTCCCTGATGAATTTCAAGGTTTTAACAAAAAAACTACAATATTCCAATTTCTGATGTCTGTAATTGCCACCTTGCTCCTGAGCGTCACAAGGCGGCGCTCTTTGTGTCCGATTTTGCGTTATTTCCTATGAGCACGTATATGGTGTGGTGGAACCTTGTACCTAGAAAATGTTCGATACAGCCTCCACATTTGGACGAAAAATACGGCTTATTATAGGCCATACATTGTTTTTACGTTTCTCACTCTACCAGGATTTTTTTAAAACACATTTTATTTTTCAAACACGCAAAAAAGTCCCACGGCCGCAATGATGGCGTTTTCACCATCAATAAACACTTTGCATCCAGAATTTAACTTTGAGGTGTTTTGTTTTCAAACTTTTTTTTGACAGGGGACTGTTTGTTTGGAAGAAAGTCAACAACGACTACAAGATCTACATCGACATATTCAATGACAACTAACACGCGTACGCTGTAAATGATGGCTAGGCTCTAAACATGACGGCACAGAAAGACACAGATTGAACATAAATTAGAATTACCGGATAATTTATGAATTACTAAATTTGAACACTGAAGGTGTATACAACCAAGTAATATTGTCGAAATTCACGTTTTAAATAAGGGGTGATGGGTCAAACATATTAAAGGTAAACCGTAAAGGAGTAAATGTTGTAATAGTCTATTTGAACTTGAAGAGACCAAGCCATTAAGCTCCGCCCACTGCGCATGTGGATGACAACCATTGATCTCCATTACCAGCCTCGACTCCAGGGGCGCGTGCTCGTTCCTTACACTAACCCCTGATCGTGATGATGACGTAAATGAGGCTGACTGGCCATTCAGAGCGTACTGCGCGGGCATTTCGAAGATTGCACGACGGGCGCGCCCATAATGCGCTCGCGTGCTTTGCACGTCACGTCACGTACAAATATTCAAAACTGCGCGATGCCTGTACGTTATGGATTATGGCAGCCTCGTTTTTTTGCTAAAAAAAACCCTGTATCTGCGGTTGTAAAGGGACGAAAGGGGTACGTATCTTTAATACAAATCTTTGCTAAAATACACAATGTCCAAACCTTATGTTTGAAAGCATTGATTCTTCAATAACACAACTTTTAACATTTTAAAGATGGCGTCGGCACGTAAAACGGATAAACTGCAGCCCTAATTATACTGTGCCGTATTTTGGCACATTTAAATTACACAACAATCAACATCAACATCAACAATCAACAGCAACATTAATAATCAACATCAACAATCAACAATCAACATTAACATCAACAATCAACATCAACAATCAACAATCAACAATTAACGTCAACAATCTGAAATTCAACATCAATAACCAACATCAGTAATCAACATCAACAATCACCATCAACAATCAACAATTAACATCAACAAACAACAATTGACATCAACAATCATTAACAAAAAAAACCATCAACATCAACAATCAACATCAATTATCATCAACAATCTACATCAATAATTGTTAATCAATATCAACAATCAATTATCAACAATCAACAATCGACATCAACATGAACAACTACCATCAACTATAATCAACAATCAACATCAACATCAACAACCAACATCAACAATCAACAACAATAATCATCAATGCGAAAAAGCCAAACCTCTAGCCCAACACCGTGTGTTTGTCCTCAAACTCTAGTTTAAGTTTGAAGTTATCTTATAGTTTTCAAAGAGGAAGGAAAATTAGGATGTTTATCAATTTTATTTCTAACTTAATCACTGTAGCTTGATGTGTTGAAGCGCCTCAATAATGTATTTGGTCTGAGTTCACTGAAGCATAACTTTTAAAAAATATGCGTCCAAATAGGCTCGTTGTTAGGTATTTTTAAACAAGCCCCAGAAATAGATAGAGGCTTTTTTAATCATTTACACATCGCATCCATTTTTGTCTCCAGTTTTTATAGGTCACCTAATACTTCTTTGCAACTAGGTGCCATGGACCCAAGTACCTAGTTTTTGCAACAACAACAACAACAACAACAAAAACAAACAAAAAAACAAAAAAACAAAAACAGAACTAGCTCAGAACAAGTCCAAAACGTGATTTTGGCTAGTTTGACGGTTCCATAGTATTGTTACAGGGTGGCCCGAAAAAAACGGAACGGCGTACTTCCGCTAATATACCATGAGACTCAAACAATTATTAACCTATACCAATGCATATAGAATTCTGCTAAAAGAAAAATGATACTATTAAAGATCGCGCGATTCTGGTCCGGTAGTTTTTGTTCTAGAGCCGATTTTGTGAAATAATGAGTCATTTTGTCCCGATGAATACGAAACCGTGCCTATCAGAATTGGCAAAGAGCCGTTTTTGTTGTGTAATAAAACCCACATTTGTGCTTCACAAAATAGGCTCTGCAGCAAAAACTACTGGTCAGGACCGAACCGGGAGATCTTGGCATCATATTTCTTCTAAAAAAGATTCTCCAGCAATTGATACACTGAAAAATTGCCTGGGTAAGAAAGGGGGAAACCGGAACTACCCAAACTTGGGTTGTTCTATTACCAATTGTTTGGGTTAGAATTCATGTTAAATTCAACCAAAAGTTGTAGTCATACCATACCAAAATAAATTTGGTCTTGAATGACCACAAGTTTTGGTTGAATTTAGCAGAAATTCTAACCCAAACAGTTATTGGTTATAGAGCAACCCAAGTTTGGGTAGTTCCAGTTTTCACCCTTTCTTGGGTAAAATTAACCCAGGCAATTTTTCAGTGTACAGGTGGTTTGAATATATATGCTCACACGTGACCAGAGGTAGCCAATCAAAACAGTCAATTTTGTTTCTTAAACTTCGAACTCAGCCAACAGTATACAATTTTGAAAGTTTTGGTGAAGGGGTTAAAGTTTAATTATAAGAAGTATATGTTATTTTATCTTGTAATTTATGGTTGAAGGATTTCAAAAATGGCTTTTAAACTGTGTTTGAACAATGTCATTAGAATAAATAAATTACCTGCATGCAAAATGGCGCCTCGCTGCTTCATTGCACTATTATCATGATTTTATTTAATAACTGAAAGACTTCAAGACTGGCTTCTGAGTTCTGATAAATAACAACTGTTTTCTGAATTCATGCTCACGCAATTTTTTTTTCAACAAAAATCCCCTATTGTCAAAGAATGGAAATTGACAATTAAAACATGAATTAAACATGAATATCCTCTTTTTTTGGCAGAAAGTGGGCATATTCTTACACACCCATTATTCACCCTATTAGAGTGACAGATGCCCCAATTTGATGAATTCGAATCACAATTCAATGATATTTAAAAAAAAATATGCCGAAAAAAAACATCTTTGGGTTTCTTCTTTATTGTGAATAGGCCTACCACCTCATCGCCAAAGAGGACCTTGCGATTTTAAAGGCCTAGCTGATGTATGACTTATTATTCACGCGACTTGGGTCATCCTCGGGGTCTAACGTAAGCGATTGCTATCTGAGTGCACACCTGTAAATAGGCCTCAACCCATCCGCCGAGCTCATGAATAACATGTATACCCTCAAACTATTCTATATTAGAGAGTTCTGCCATAAAATTGGGGGAAATGAAGAGATATGGCAATGAATGTTTCTCTGGTCCGGACTTGCGACTTCCAATTCTGAACATTTTGGATGCAATTGGGCTCGAAAGTGGCGCTATTTGCCATGTTGTGCAGGGATCGTTTTTCAAGATAACTAGCTAAGGGCCGTCTTCTTTGGGTGAGAATTTCTCGAAAAGTCAATGATCAACCCGCCACAAATTAAAAAGAAAATGAAAGATGACATGTTGATCATCATTTTTCTGCGCAGCATAAATACCTGTGAGAGTTCTGAGTATGTTGAAGTATGGGCATTTAGCACTGGTGTCTACGGGAATTTTAATACAGTTACACACGATATTCTTAATTACATCTGGACATGCTAAATCTTGATGGGAAAAGCCTGTATTGCTGACGCATGTGTCATCAAAATGCACATTCACGACATCGAAGCCATGCCGCTGTACGATGTTTCGCACGGCATGCGGCAGTGCAGTGCACTGCCATCGCCATTCACTGGTTCCCACCGCGTTCCCAACAGAATCAAAGCTATATGATGTAGGACCGGAACCAGTGAATACGGGCTATGTACGTTGCGTTGAATTTGGATCATAGAAAATACCAAACGAACATCGACAGAGAAAGAGAATATCTTCAAATCAATTTCCAAACCGTGATCTCTCTTTCAATTTTCTGTGCATGTATTTTCCATTAAAAAAAAAAAATTTATAACGAGAATGTTCCGCTCGTACGTGATACACCGAAGCGTGTTTCTGCAAACTTTTCGGCCACAGCACATGGGTTCATTTCCGGGTCCGCTACACAATACACAGTGCTTCGCGAGTTGGTGTTTCACAACAAAACTTTCCGCACAGGTTTGAAAAATTTCACCCCTGTTACTGCCTGTCTGCTGGCCCTGCTGACGGTGGGGTTTCTGGTGATCAAGCAAGATGCCTCGGTGCTCCAAGAGGTAGAAGCTGACGCCTTGGCGGTGGTGGTTGTATCAAATCAGAATGCTGTCCACTGATTGGTCGTGATTTTTGAAACAAGTCTATTCAATTTCGAGATGAATAATAGCAATGTTTGTGTAATATTGAGGAAAACCAGAAAAATTGTCGAAATGTCTGTCTAGAAAAAAACACACATTTATAAAGTAATGTAAAGTCACTTCTTAGGAGGTGCAAGTTGTTACAATTGTATACATTTGTTCAGACTGTGTGTATTTCTATGCTGGGAATCAGCAGTCGTGCTACTGGTAGCAGTGTGGCAGGTCGACCACAGAGTTGTTGTGCTGAATAAATAAGAGTTTCTTCAGAAGTTGGAAATCCTGTGTGTTTGTCCCCTTTTCTTGCGTTTGGCCGGACTCGGAGGACAAGAACCCAAAAGGTCCCGTTACAATTGGTGGCAGTGGTGGGATTTTCTACAGGATTTTCGAGGATGAAGTATGGCAAGCTACACGGAGTCGGCACGGTGTATCGATGAAGCCATCGGCGCCATTTTCATGGAAATCGATTGGCTGCAGCGGTCCCTGCTGGACAGTTTACGCAGAAATACGACCGGGTCCACGACCGGACATCAGCCTCGGCATGTTGTGCCAGTGACGCCGAGCCTATCAACTAGGGACGATACCGGAAGGCGGAGAAAGTCGTGCAGTGTAGTGGGTGATCTTCAGGCACAGTGGCGGGCGGCGTGCAGTGAGTCGGACAACGAAGGTGAGCACCACCCTGACGTTAGTTGCCGTCGATCCCCGAAGAGTCCTACCGGGGCACGCAGCGGTTGCGAGCCTCGTCATGCGGGCAGGCACATACCAGTGCACACTGACACCGCTGCTAGCGGATCCAGTGGAACGTACCGGAGCGGCGCCGCGTGTCAGAGCTCCGGAGTACGATGGGTCATCGTACATTAAGGATTACTTGGTGCATTTTGATGGGAGAAAGCCCTCGACCCT